GCTAGGTTCCAGTCTTTTCTCGATGGTTGTCTAGCAGTCAGTTGTGGTTTTGTTGTCGTCACAAGGCGAGGCGAGCTGTGGCCCTACCACTCTGCCATCTTGACTGGAACTGTATCTGCATCTATTTATTTTAAAAATGCTTTTAATGGAGCATAGTTGATTTACAGTGTTGTGTTAGTGCCAGGTGTACAGCACAGTGTACAGCACAGTGATAATGGATGGTTTCCATTATAGGTTACGACAAGATGCTGGATAGTCTCTGTGCTCTACAGTAAATCCTTGATGCTTATCTTCTCAGAGTCTTTTTAGGTGATCATATGGTTTTCCTTTTTTTAGTTTTATCAACTAAATGGTTTAATTGTCAAATCAAATGAAAAGCAAGACTCCACTGTATGTATTCTACAGGAGACACACTTAAATGTAAAGACACGTAGATGAAAAGCAGAAGAATGGAGAAAGATAAGTGGTGCCAACGCTGGTCACGGCTGGTGTGGCCACGCTGGTGTCAGCAGAGTGGACCTCAGAGCAGAGGTGACTGGGTGAGGAAGGTCGCTGCATGATGACGGAGGGTCAGGTTGTCGAGAGGGCACAACAGCCCTAACGTTATGCACCGGATGACAGAAGCCAGACACCACGGACGTGTTGTGTGGCTCCTTGGGTGGGAAATGTCCAGAAAAAGCAAATCTATGGAAACAAATCAAATCACTCTTGGCCTTGGGCCTTGGGCCAAGAGTGGAAATGGAGGCTCACAACAGGTGGACACAGTGGGACTTTTTGTCATGACGAAAATGTTCTAAAACTGGATTTTGGGGATGGTTTCACAATCTATAAATTTACCAGAATTATTGAATTACACACTTACAGTGAGTGGATGTTACGGTCTGTAAATTAAACCTTGATAGAACTGCTGAAAAAATTTAATGGAGGAATATCAAAAACACAGGCACTAAATTGAAGGGCCTTTTCGTGGCCACCTCTGGGACCATTTGAGCATAAAAATATAAAGAGTGATGAATTATAAACAAATGAAAAATGTGGGAATCCTTGAGTCCGTTTTGACAATAAATAGAAAAATGAATGTGCAAGAAAGTAAGGTTGGTAAACAGGGAGGCGGGCTTGAGTCAGGAAAGCACTGTTTTGTGACCTTTGGAGTAGGGGTGGGTGGGGAGGCAGAGGGACAGCCCTGATGAGCCATCCAGGGAGAGAGCGGGTGTTTCTTTGCATGGCCTCAGGCATCCCCTCGCAACTGCTTCTTTGTGACAAGCGGAGAAACAGCTGCACTGGAGAGGACACCTGAGCAGGTGGTCGCAGGGAGCATCGTCGAGGGGCAGGTGACTCCTGACCCCTGGCAGGGCAGCTGTCCTGTTAAGTGGTGCTCCAGCCCTAAGGGGCCCTTAGTGGAGATAATGTCACCCCTCCCAGGAGGGCCGCTGTCTACTGGGCAGCTCTGCATGGAAGGAGGGGTGCGCTGAGCAGGCACCAGTGGTGGACGGGCACCTGTCCGGGGACCCAGCCCTGACCATCCACCGCTCTCAGGGATTTCGGATGCTTTCAAGTTGCACGTTTCTTTAATGGCATCAGCAGTAGTCTGTTTATATCAAGGAAGCACTTGGACCTTTTCCTGATCATTGCTGTGGAGGATAGTCTTAAGCTAACCGATTGTCTCAGGAACACGAGAATCCCCCGCCAGCACTCAACCCTCCTTTCCACGGAGCAGTTGGAGTGGGTGGCATGGCCTCGGCCTTCCCTGGTGGCCTTTGCTGCCGCCAGCAACAGCCAGTCCTCAGCCAGTGTCCTCAGTCAACGCCAGAGGCAGCCAGCTGTTCCTATGAGCGGGACCCCCAGGGGTTATCTGGTCAGTGCCTCATGGGGCGGGGCCCTGGCCTTGTCCAGCCACAGGTGCAGTTCCACACGCGAGTTAGTGACCACCCAGCTTTTCTGAAGTCCGTGGGCCTGTGGTCTGAATGCTCAGAAAAGGAAGGGCCGTCGGGGTTACCCACTGAGCTGTGTGTCTCTGCCGAGTGTCGTGTGCGGACGCCCTCCGGTCACCCTCTGGTCCCTTCTGCCCCTTCCAGTTCCTGCGGATCTGTGCCGACCTCTTCCGCTTGGTGCCCTTCCTGGTCTTCGTGGTGGTGCCCTTCATGGAGTTCCTGCTGCCCGTCGCCGTGAAGCTCTTCCCCAACATGTTACCGTCCACCTTCGAGACCCAGTCCAGTAAGGTGAGTGGTGCGTGTTGTGATTGACACCTTAGATGTTAGATGCTTTTGAAATTTATGTTTGCTTCATACTTCAGTCTGCTGTGCTATGCTTATTTAATAGGTGCTGGTTTCAGATTTCTCTTTAGTTATTTTTAGGTTTTTTTTCTTTTGAGAGAGAGGTAGTTAGGTTTATTTATTTAACGGAGGTTCTGGAGATTGAACCCAGGACCTCATGCGTGCTAGGCACACACTCTACCACTGAGCTATACCCTCCCCCCATTTCTCTTTAAATTTATTTTTAAATGAAGTTTTTTTAGATCAGTGTTCTTCGGGCCACCGGTTCAGACCCACTCGTGGGGGATGAGATGGGTCGAGGGCTGGGGTGGCCCTGCCCATTTTGGTCAGTGAGGTCTTTGGGGATGTGCGTGCCCAGTCATGCATCTGTTGCTGGTGGCCTTTGCATTTCACACCAGATGCCCACGGGGCCTAAAAGCTTTACTGGCTGGCTCTTTATGGAGTTCGCTGGCCCCTCTAGGGGGTTGTACAAATTTCCATAAATCATGAAATAGTAGAGAGTTTCAGAACACACAGCACATGGGTGGAGTAAGGGCGTTCAGGAGAGGCCTGTGTGGGCAGCGCTGGGCGGAGATGTAAAATGCACTCCGTACTGGAGTTCCATCACAGCGGGGACGCGGCGGGGTGCCGGGCGCTAGGGGAATGCAGCACCCTCTCTGACCCTGCAGGAGGAGCGGCTGAAGAAGGAGCTGCGGGTCAAGCTGGAGCTGGCCAAGTTTCTTCAGGACACCATCGAGGAGATGGCCTTGAAGAACAAGGCAGCCAAGGGGAGCGCCACCAAAGACTTCTCCGCATTTTTCCAGAAGGTGCTGTGATGCTTCGTCCCTGGGGTCCCAGCCCACTGGCCCCAAGTGCTGGTTGGAACCTCGGGGTGGGCCACTCTGCCTTGTCTGGGGAACGCCCCGGCTTCCCTCTTTTTTACTGTACATGACCACGAGGGTGGCGCTCCTGGCAGGTGCTGGCTGGTGCTGCAGGGCTGTCACCTGGCCCTGCTTCTACCCTGTGCAGAGGAGGTCAAGCCTACTGTCCTGAGAACATGAACCTCGTTGACATTCACAGTGACTTGCCTGTGTCTCCAGACTTTGCAGCCCTGTGGGGGGCGTAGAGTTTGGCAAGAACCTAAGACCCCACAGTGGTGACAAGTCAGGGGGTTGGGTTGAGGGGAGGGGACAGACTGCTTGGGGTGGGGGGCAGAGGGCGCCCAGCTGGTTGGCGCTCTGGGGTTTGGGTCCCTGAGGGCCTCCCCCTGTAGGAGCTCGTGGGGGCAGAGCTGAGGGAGGCAAGCGCTGTCCCGGGCCATGGGGGCTGCCAGGCCCTCCTCCTCACTCGAGGTGTGTGGCCCGAGGCTGTGGGTGACCCTGACGACGCTCCCACAGATCCGAGAGACAGGGGAGAGACCCAGCAATGAGGAGATCATGCGTTTTTCCAAACTGTTTGAGGACGAGCTGACCCTGGACAACCTCACACGGCCGCAGCTGGTGGCGCTGTGCAAGCTGCTGGAGCTGCAGTCCATCGGCACCAACAACTTCCTGCGCTTCCAGCTCACCATGCGGCTGCGCTCCATCAAGGCCGACGACAAGGTGAGCCGGCGGCGGGGCTCAGGCCAGCCCCCCGCGCTGCACCTGCATGTGCGCGTCTCCCCAGAGCGAGCACTGGGGCCACACGGTTTTAGCCGGCTTGACGGTGGGAAACATTCTGTGAAAAGTGGATTTTAATGGCGGTCTGACTTTTCCTCACATGGATGCGTCATAATTTATCAACCGTTACTTTAGCTCATCATTGGGCTTCCCTGAAAAACACTCTGATAATCCTTTATACGTGGGTTTTTGCCCTGGATCTTTGATGAGTCCTATAAAAATGGTGACCTAGACTTGGGGTCCTGAGTCTAGGACAAGCCGTGGCCTGGAGCCAGGCTGCTCCGGAGCCGCACTGACTGCGCGCCCGCCTGCCGTGCGCCTGGCTGTGCTTGGCCCACAGGGCGCTCGGGCGGCGGCGTTCGTTCTCTCTGTCTGTGGTGTCTGGTAGGACCCCGGTGGCTGGCCCGCTCTCTCCTGGGCCCCTCTCTGTCCCTCTTCTCACTCCCAGGCTCCCTGAGGCCTTGCACTTGCCGTGCATGTTGCTTTTGGAGCCCGCTCTGGCGGCCCTGCCCCTGAACTGGAGGATTTAGTCCATGCGCCTTCCTGTTTGTCTCGCCGAATCTCCTTTCTTCCCTTCTTTTGGATTAATCAAGTGTGCATTATTCCATCCGCCCTCCGCTAACTTGTTATTTATCTACTTTTTTAGCACTTTTCTCTAGAGTTTACAACCAGAGTCTAACGTGAGGGTGAGGGAGCCGGTGCTGGCGCCTCGGGGCGTCTCAGCCGCTCTCACCCTCTGCCCCTCTGCGCTGTCGTGCGTTTTTGCCCGCGTCACCACACGTTCCAACCCCGCTCCTCCTGCCTGCGTTTACCCAGCCACTTCCTCTCTGTGAGAAGTCCCCCGGGCCCATTTGTGTGGCTGTCTCTTTGCCTTCCCTCTGCAGGCACTGCTAGGGGCGCAGCTCCATGCCTGCAGGTCTTGTCTTCCTGCCTGTGAAAGATGCCGTTGAGTGGACATCGCTGGCGGGCCTGCTCTCATTCCTTCGGCGATGTCCACCTTTTCTTGCTGGGATTTCAGCGTTTTCACAATAACATGTCTGCGTATTCTGTTTACTGGTTGTGGGGCTCCCGCCGTCTCATTAAAGGCTGCTCCCCGCCGCCCACACGGTCTGCGTCTCCCTCCCTGCTCACGGGCCCCTCACCACAGGGGCCCTGTCTGTACTTTACAGCCTTTTCTTTTGCTTTTCTAACCCTCTCTTCTTGATCTAATTACTCTTAAACTCATCTTCTGAGGTCTTAATTTCAGTCCTAGGAATTCTGATTTGGGGCCTCTCTTTTTAAGATTTCCGTTTGCAGGTATAACTGTCCATCTTGTCCTCCAGAAGCCAGTCATTGCTGCATTCTGTAAGGATGGAGAAGCGCTGTGTCCCTCCAGCGGAGCGGAGGCTGGGGGGCTGACACAACGTGGGCAGCCCTTGCTGGGCATCTCTCTCAGGAGAGGCAGCCTGAGGGCAGGCTGCCTGGGCTGAGTCCCAGCCGCTCACTCGCTTTGTGACCTTTAACAGGTCATCTGACCACTCAGTGCTGCAGATTCCCGTGAGGTGGGGTGGCAGCCAGACCTCTGCTGTTGAGACAGTGGAGGGGGTGTACTTCCCCTTGGATGTTAGGTAGAAACTATACATAAGAGAACTCCAAAAAGTGAAGAGAAGATCCCAGGAACAACACTGGAGGCCTTCATGCCTCACAGATCCATCCTTGGGGCCTGCATGTCAGAATTGCCGACGTGGGCAGACTTGAAAAGCCCACCGTGTGGCCCGAGGAGTGGAAAGGCACTGCCTAGCAGGACAGAAGACCAGGCAGTAACTGCCCTGCTCCAGCCAGACACCACAGGGAGCAGAATCTCCCCAACCCCAGCACACACACACGCACACAGATACATAGACGCACACAGTGGTGGGTGGGGGCCAAGACTTCCACTCTCATCAGGATGTGACCACGGAGATGGTATCAGGGAGGGCCGAGGGGGGCTGGGTCATTCACCCCCAGCACCCCCTGCCTCTGGGGTGTTCGGTAGAGACCAGCAGGGAGCCTGGACCGCCACCCCTACCTGCCACTTCCTGCTGGAGTGGTGCCAGGAGGGGCCCGTACCAAGGCTTCCTGGTTCTCCCAGCCAGGGAGGCATGCAGAGCCCAGCGAGGGGCCCAGACTCCACCCACCCCTCCCACCAGAGATGCCAGTACCCTCCCCCTCCTGGCCACCGGGCTGGGGCTCAGTGGAGGCTGCATGGGAAACCTGGCAGAACAGGGCAGAGTCCCACCTGTTCCCAAACCATCTGGGATGTAATTTATGGGTGTAACTGAGTGATGTGACCCAGAGCTCAGTGCCATCGGAAGGAGCTGAGCTCACAGCACCCCTAAGAACGAGGCATGGCACCCACGCAGGGCCCTCCGAGACCTCAGCACCCTTGGGGACCAGGAAGTGGGAGGGAGGGAGGAAGCAGGACTCAGCATTATCACCGGTGTTCAGCACTGAATGCCCCTGCGGAGCGGACTGGAGTGGGCGGGGGGAGCTGGCTCAGATAGGAGGTGGAAGCGAGATCCAGGCTCCCGTGACGGGACACCCAGACGGCCAGGTTCCTGTTGAATACCCTCCTCACACTAAGAACGAGCAGGGCCCCAGAGTCGGTCAGCAGGGGCAGCGCCGAGATCGCAGAGAAGGTGGGTCATTTCAACCCTTGGCTGCCTCCCAAATTCAGTAAAAGATGTAAATCCACAGATTCAAGACCCTGAGTGAACCTTGGGCAGGACACACCCAGAGAGATCCACACCAAGACAGACTGACAGACTCCAAGGACAGGAGCCATTTGAAAACAGTGGGCAAGAACAGCATCTCACCTGCAGGAGAGGCAGTTCAGTGATGGTGCATTTTCTCATCAGAAACCTCGGAGGCCGAAATGAAGTGGAAAGTACTTTTCACGTGCTGAGGAAAAGAGAGCTGTCGGCTTAATCCTGTATCCAGCAAAAATAGAACAGTTTTTAAAAATTTAAAAACAGGAATAGGGGGAAGTCAAGGTATCCTGAGATGAAGGGAAGCTGAGATGACGTGTCGCATGAGGGCCTCTACACAGAAGGAGGAAGGTGACCCGCAGCAGACCTTCCATCCCCTCGCTGGTCTCCTGAGCAAGTGTAACGGTGGCCCTGAACCATGTGGCTCGGGCAGGGAGGGGGCGTTCAGACGGGACGCCAGTTGGAGGTGGGGGCTCCTCCGCTTCCCTCTGAGACGCTGTACGAGTGCCTGGGGCACCTGGAGCAGCCACGGAGGTGCGTGTCCGGAGACGCACTCAGGAGAGCGCGAGACGAGTCCCAGCGGGGCCCCTCGCGCCACAGGGAGGTGGAAGGAGAAGACGGACAAGAAGTTGCTTTTCCATTGCAGCCTGAACTGCCCAGGTGTCCTGCAGTGGGCAGGCGGTTACGCCCCACACAGTGCGCTCCTGCTTGATACACACAACTCGCGTGCATCTTCAAGGAGCCCCTGAAGTTGTGTGCTCTGCAGTCCCATCCATATAACACTCTTCAGAGCTAGACGTGAAGAGTAGATGGTGGTCCCCAGGGCTCAGAAGGGGTGACTCCGAGGGTGTCTGAGGTCCTCGTAGGGGTGGAGGTGTCACGTCCTGGTTGTGGTTTGACTGCGTAGCATGTGAGGTGTCACTGCTGTGCGGCTGCATGTCTGTCAGAACTGGAAGATGGCTGAGGGGGTCCCAGCGGCCGGAGGAGGGGGCACCATTGCTCTCTGCTCCTCTCTCCTCGTCAGTCCCTCACGGCCTCCCCGCAGCGCTGAGCTCCATGTCCTCTGTCTCTGGGACTCCTGTTTGCCTTCCCACTTGGGTCCCCATGACCTCAGGCTGAGGAGGAGGGGAGGGTTGAGAGACGTCCTCGGAGTGACGGGACCACCCTGGTCCCCGTCCTCCTCGCTTGTCCTGCGAACATGGAGGATGAAGGGCCCTTCCCTGTCTGTGGCATAGAGAGTGGTGCCTGGGCAGGGATGGTCCTGGCCGTTGACCCCAGGGTCCCCACCCTCTGCAGAGGGGTCTGGTCACCACTGCACCGGACCTGGGGCCGTGGTGTGGTGGTTGATCTTGTGCTTGCGAAGCATGTTAGGAAAGTGGCACAGTTAGACACTTAGCTCCCAAGTGTGTTAATGTAAGGGCGCAGACCTACAATGACCCTTCAGGGCGGTGATCAGCAACTTTCTTTGACAGCTGATCGCTGAGGAGGGGGTGGACAGCCTCAACGTCAAGGAGCTGCAGGCAGCATGTCGGGCGCGAGGCATGCGGGCCCTGGGTGTCACGGAGGACCGTCTGCGGGAGCAGCTGAAGCAGGTGCGTTGGAGGAGGGGCTTCGGCTGCCCCCTGGGGGTGAGGCTGGGCACGCTTGCCCCAGGTTCTCATTGCCTCACCTGCTCTTGGCGGTGTCCCTTCACCTCGCCGTCCCCTCCTCCCAGTCTTCTGTGGACAGATGAAGACTGGGTCACCCTCCTTTGAAATATCTGACGCTCTCAGAGCGTTTGGGGAACCGGGACCCAGGCCAGCCTGACCGCCTAAGCTCCTGCCGTCGGCAGCTCGGGTGGGAGCCACAGGCCCTTCTCTGGTTACATTACCCTCTTCTTAAGAGTTCCTTCTCATCTTTTGTCCTGCATCACAGTCTCCAAACATTGTCATGGTCTTTGTCAGTTTGAACAGAGTCTCCATGTCACTGAAATATCCTGAAACAGTGCCTGGCCCCTGGTAGTTGTGCAGCTCAGTGAATTCACAGGTTCCTCCTTTGACGTTTCTGTGCCATTTTTAAGTGACGAACTTTGGGAACAGAACCTGGTCGTCTTGCTCAGTGTTCTCTGAGCCCTTGGCCTCACTGCTGGGGCATCTCCTGCCGGCTCAAGGGAGGGGGCAGCAGGTCATTAAATGCAGCCGTAAATAGGCCTTTCAGAGCCAGGGTGCCTTTTTCTTGGGAGAACTCGCTCCGATGACTCGGTAGATCTGTCTTCTCGGGTGCTGATGTGGTTGTTGCTGCCAGTCTCCTCCTCCCCGCCCCCACACAGGGCAGAGCAGAGAGGAGAGTTCTGGGCCAACCCCCCACTTCCACCCTGGGTCCTGGGAGGTGTGGGCGAGCCAAGGCCGGCGGGCGAGTCTGGGTCCTGAACTCCCCAATTCCAGTGGCTGGAGCTGCACCTGCACCAGGAGATTCCGACATCCCTGCTCATCCTGTCCCGAGCCATGTACCTTCCCGACACCCTCTCGCCTGCCGACCAACTCAAGTCCACGCTGCAGACCCTCCCAGAGATTGTGGTGCGTATCGCCAGAGGCCCCTTCTGCTGCTGACTCTGAGGGGCCTCCCACCTCTGGGGGAGCCCGCCTCCTCTGCCCAGGGGGCCTGAGACCCACCACTCACTCTCCTGCCCCTGCTTGCCGGTCCTTCCTCTGCACATCAAGGGCTCCCGGGCCCTCGGGTTCTAGCAGGGCCCTCTCCTGTGGAGCAAGCCCAGCGGCAGACGTGGGTAGGGGGCGGGGGCAGAGGGGCTGCTCTGGCGGCACCGCGTTCACTCACAGGTGTCCCCTCCCCTCAGGCAAAGGAAGCCCAGGTGAAAGTGGCTGCGGTGGAGGGCGAGCAGGTGGACAACAAGGCAAAGCTGGAGGCCACGCTGCAGGAGGAGGAGGCCATCCGGCAGGAGCACCGGGAGAAGGAGCTGCAGAGGCTCTCTCAGGCCGCGGTGAGCAGGGCGCGTGGCTTGGGAGGCTGGGGGCGGCGGGCTCCCTGGCGGCCAGGCTGTGAGTCCCATGCTGGCTTTTGGTTCTGGTGCCAGTCAGGGCCGGCGGCCAGCCCGGCCTGTGGGCAGAGGGTGTCTGCAGTGCCCACACCCACGCAACAATGACTCCGCCAGCCTGGCAGCCAGGGACATTCCTCCAGGAGCGGCCTGAAGCCGACGTGAGATGCTTGGGCGCTTCACAACGGGGCTGCCTGCGGGAGCGCAGGTGGAGGGTCTGCCGGTGGAACCTGGTGGAGGCAGGCGCCCGCCACCCGCTGGTGGGGTGCCGCAGACCTGGACCCTCGAGTAGCGGGCAGGTGGCCCAAGCGTGCCCTCCGGCAGCAGCTCGTCTGTGCGGGCATGGAGGCCCCGGAAGGTGGCTGGTCCCGGGGTGCTGAGCCGGCAGCGGCCTTGCGTTTCAGAAGGAAGCGGAGCCCGAAGTGATGGCAGAAGCTGCCTCGGGGAGGCCCGGGGCTGAGCTGCAGCCAGAAGTGCCTGATGTGATCTTGCCATCAGAGGCCCTGAAGGACACCGCCCCCATCCTGGAAGGCCTGAAGGTAACGGTGCACACACGCCAGAGGGAGCAGTGTTGGAGCCTTGCTGGAGGGCCAGAAGGGCCCGGCTTGGAGGGCGGGGGCTCCTGAGGAAAAGGGTCCAGAAGGCCACAGCCTGGCTGCCCAGGGCGACAGTGGACAGCCTTGGGGCCAGGGGAGTCCGCAGGTCGGAGCCATTCCTGGGAGGCCAGATGTGAGAAGGGCGAGCTGGCCATGGGCCCAAGGGCCTGAAGGTGAGGGGCCTGCCCCGGCCCCAGACCCTCTGGACTCTGCATGGCCGGGCACCCAGGGAGGAGAGGCTGGTGCGGTCCCTCCCAGAGGTCCGCTTTGCCGTCGCCTTCCTGACACCCTGTGCTTGGGAGCCTGATGTGCTGTGTGCCCAGGGGTGCTGGCCCAGGGTGTGCGATGGGTGGAGGAGGTCTTGACCGGACATACCGCTCCGTCAGTTTGGCGGCTGGAGTAGGAGGGAGGAACCAGCGTGGCAGACTCGTGTATGGGGCGTCTCAGTGAGGTCGCGAGGGGTGGGGCCTCCGCATTCAGAGGTCAGAGGGGTCGAGGCCTTGCAACGGCAGCCTGTGAGGTGGAGCCGTGGGCTCCGCCAGGTGTGCAGAGAGCCGGGCGGTGCGGCCTGAGGATGAGCCTGCTGGGCAGCGTGGGGTCGTCAGCAGTGCAGGGGAGGTAGGGAAGAGTCCCATGTGGAGTCCCAGGGAGGAGCCAGGAGGGAGGGCCCTCGGAGAGGGTGGTGGGGCGGGCTAGGCCTCGGGGAGGAGCCGGGCCGTTCATGTGAGGAGAAGGCACGAAGTGTCAGCACCAGGGCCCTTGCGGAAGCAGGCTGTGGACTGCAGGGGCAGCATCCAGGGTCGGGCACCACTTGGGATAAGCCCGTGTGCCTCTGCTTCCCCTGATGAGGGCCCCGGGGAGGGTCATTTTGAAGGCGGTGCAGGGCTCGGGCTGGGAAGCCGTTCAGAGGTAGAGCCTGGTGGAGCCCACGGAGTGTGGCTCTGGGAGAAGGGACCACCTGGAGGCCATGGGGCCGGGGTGGCTGGCTGTCTTCGTGGAAATGAATACATCCCGTTTCCAGTAGATTAGAGACTTCGACGTGAATGGACGTTTAAACTCTCTTATGAACTAAGGATTGCCGAGGATTTCTTAGCAAGAAGCACAAACTTTTAAAAACTTACAACGAAGAACCTTGGTTTGTTGGAAAGGTGCTGCAGGGAGTGGGGCACCACTGTGTCCTGCCAGCAGTGCAGGCTTGGGTCGTGTCGGTATTTACCGTCTGCTTGGACAGAGACCCTGAATAGCTCCAGGAAACTGAGCTTGTAGCAGGAAACCTCTGCACGGGGACGCCCCAGGTCCATATGGCTTCGCTGGTGAAGCTACTGGGGAGTCCAGACACGTGAGGAATAAATCCTCCCTGTGCTGCTCAGACTCCTGGCAGAAAGCTGAGGGAGAGCACATTCTGAAATGAGCATCACCTGAGGCCAAAACCAGGTAGAGACGAGAAAGCCGCAGACCAGTGTCTTTCAGAAACACTGACGCAAAAATCCTTATCAGACTTCTCCTAAATGAAATGCAGCTCTCTTGTGGAAAGGACAATACGTCATGGCCTCGTGGGGTTTGTCCACGGAATACAAAAAGATCTGTCAGTGTAACGACCACAGTACGGACTGAAGAGAAGGCGCGTGTGAGCACCTGAGTAGATGCACAGAGCATGACGGAGCCCTGTGTCTGTCTCGCCAAGGGGGCTTCCCAGCGGGTCGGTGGGACGGACAGCAAGCCTCTGGAGGAGCGCCTGTGGACGACGACCCCTGGCGGAGCAGCGCAGGCAGGGCAGCGCTCTCACCGTCTCTGCTCAGCGCGGGGCGGGGTTCTGGCCACAGCTACTAGATGAGGAGGAAGTAAGATGACGCAGGTCAGAAGGGAAGGAGGAGACCTAATCGGCCCTCCCCCGACCACGGAGGACAAGGAGAGAGGAGGGAGTGCAGCTGTCTGTTCCCAGGTGACGTGAGCGTCTGCAAGTTAGTTGTGCTCCTCTGTGCTCGGGGAACAATTAGAAATTGAAGATTTTAAAAGTGCATCATACAGAAGCACCCCCAAAATGAACTGCTTCGGGGTAAACTTGAATGTAGACACGCAGGACTGAGTGCACTGAAGTGCCTGCCACGAGGGGCGCTGAGATGAAGAAGCAGACCCGCGGAGAGGTTCCCTGCGCTCACGGGTGCGAAGACTCGGCGTCGGTGAGGCGCGCATTGTCTCCTGCGGGTCTCTGGGCTGAGATCCTCCGCATCCCAGCAGGCTTTGTTGCTGAAACTGACAAACTTACTCTAAAATTTCGATGGAAATTTAAAAGACCCAGAAGAGCTGAGACAGTGGACAAGCAGGTCTGGTAGATGCCCTGGGTGCAGCCGCACTTGGCAGTGGGAGGGACACACCGTCACGTGGGTGAACCTGAGGGAGGGAGGGTGGGGTAGGGCCCCTACCCTGTGATGCCTTTTGTCAAAAGTTCTAGCAGACCGACAGACCTGTCGTGACGGGAGACAAGTCAGCGGCGGGGGTGGGGTTCGGGGCCTGAGGAAACGTTTGGGGTGAGCAATGTTCTCTGTCGGGCGGTGATGGCTTAGGGGAGTACAGATCTGTCAGACACACCACGCTGGGGCAGTCTGGTGCCGGAGGGCACCTCAAAGAGTGGAGACGGCGCCCGCCGGCCTCACCGGGGCCTGAGCCTCTGCCGTGTGCGACGTGAACCTGCAGGACGCATAGGAAGGTGCCAGCCCTCGGGGACCAGCCTGTTACTTCCGTTCATCTGGATTTTTGGGGTTGCTTGTTTGTTTTCTTTCCAGGAAGAAGAAATAACTCAGGAGGAAATTGACATACTCAGTGACGCCTGCTCAAAACTGAAGGAGCAGAAGAAATCCCTGACAAAGGAGAAGGAAGAGCTGGAGCTGCTGAAGGAGGACGTCCAGGACTACAGTGAGGTGGGTGGGAGCGGTGGCGGGACGGGGCTGGGGCTGCAGCAGAGTAAAACCAGGCTTCGTCAGGCCCCGATAATTCAGTAATACCACCATCCAGTATTGGATAAACTGGCCAGACGGCCTTTGGGGAGAAAACTGAATTTAAGTGAATCTTATTTAATAGCTTTTCCACTCATTCCAGGGAGTCACTGTTCTCCTGGAATGCTGGCCATTAGCCATTGTAGATGACAAGCATTTCTTTGTTGTTTGAAGGCAGTCTTTTTACAACTAAATAATTTCATTAGGACTTGCAGGAGATCAAGAAGGAACTTTCAAAGACTGGCAAAGAAATATACGTGGAAGAGTCTAAGGCCAGCAAGAGGCTGACAAAGAGGGTGCAGCAGATGATCGGCCAGATAGACAATCTGCTCTTGCAGCTGGAGGCCGACCAGAAGGCTGGCAAGCTGGGCCCAGCCACCGAGGGCTCACCTGCAGGGTGAGTGTGGACCTGGAGCCTGGGAGGCCAGGGCCTTTCTAACCCCCGAGCACACTTTTCAGCCTTGCTGACCACCGCCCCTCACCTCTGACCCGTCAGTTCCAGCCAGAAGCCCAGCAGGCCTCATCAGCCCCCACGGCCCCACAGAGGTTTCACCAAAGTGGCCCCGAGGCCCATGTCCGGGCTCTCACACGCTGAGCGCTGTCAGCTCTCATCTGCAGGACCACACTTACGGCCTGCCTGCTCTCTGTGTGCACCCTAGCCCACACGTCTGTCCAGGCTGCCGGCAGGCTGGTCCCCCCAGAATGTACTAGGATCATGGCTCCCCATGGCCTCTCCCTGCCCCTTCTTCCCATGGCCCTCCCCTTTCCTCCAGCCTCAGCCACACTGGGTTCCTGTTTCCTCATCATCAGGGCTTCTCCTGCCTCCTCCCTCTTGCTGAACCCCCATATACGCAGGCACTCAATGATGACCCCCGTGCAGGGGCTGGCTCTGCATTGGGTGTCCCATGGCTGGCAAGGGCCAGCACCGCGTGAGTGGCCGCCGGGTGAGTGAGATGTCCCCCGGGGGCGGCAGCGAAGCCCAGCACTCCTGTGGCCCCTGTCTGCTGCGGGGCAGGCGGGCAGGCTGCAGGGCCCCCCCCCCAGCTGAGGTCCCTCCCAAGGGACTGCATTTCTCATGCGGATTTCAGAAAACAAAAAGTCAAAACAAACAAAAAAACTAAAGGGTGCTCTTTTATTAGATTTGTGGCAGGTTGAGTAATAAAGAATTAAGTCGTCATTTCGTTAAAATTGAGAGATGATGTAATGCATATGTAAGAGCTTTCTGAAGGGTTTTTGGGGCTTTTAAACAGCGTGTTTTTTTTTAGTTTTTTATTTTATTTGTTTAGTTATTAACTTTATTTTTATTTTATTTTATTTTGGAAAGGTGTGATTGTATCATGTGCTTAGTGTCTGCTCTTGGGTTGACCTGCCGTGCTGTGTGGGCCTCCTCCCCCGCTGGCCAGAGGGCAGCATGGTCAGACCCGGCCCTTCCCACCCTGACCGCCGCACAGACAGGCCTGGAACCCGCCCAGTAGTGGTGGGCTCCGTCCTCGTCGCTGCCGGAGAGGCAGGGCCCGCTCAGGGGCCACGCCCACACACACAGGAGACCCTGGACAGAGTGGTGGCTTCTCTTTTTGTGTCCAAGTTGGCTGGGTGCCCCCAAGGGAAGAGGCGAGGTGGCTCTGGAGGGAGGGGCTGCCAGGGTCAGGGCTGACCCAGGGAGGCTCTGGGTGCCGCCCGCTGTGCCACGTGCCGGCCATGTCCCCCTAGGGAGACGGTCATCAGCATCGCTGAGCTCATTAGTGCCATGAAGCAGATCAAGCACATTCCAGAAAACAAGCTCATGAGCTTGGCCTCAGCGCTGGATGAGAACAAGGATGGCAAGGTCAACATCGACGACCTGGTCAAGGTGCGCAGGGCTCTCTGGGGGCATCTTCCCCACCGGGCCACCCCCGGGGCCTGGTCTGTGCAGGGACTGCAGTGGGAGGGCCCTGGCTGGGTCTGGGAGGCACGGGGGGCGGGGGGGGGTGCCCCGGGAGAGGAGATGGGCTTCAGGACCCCTGGTGGTGAGTGGTGGGCGTGGGGGCCACCTGAGGCCTCAGAGCGTCCCTGGTCAAGAGCTTGGGCAGCCCTGAAGACCTGGAAAGGGGTTCCACCCTCGTAAGGAAGGCTGTGGGTTCCGGCGTTTCTGAGATGAGAGCATCTTCTCAGGCTCCTGAACACCTAGCTAGTTGGTGACTTTTCATACATTTACCAGGAGCATCAGCCAACTTTAGCTCCGTTGAAAGCAAAAGCGTTGCCAGCCCATGTGCCATCATCACCTTCCCAGCAGCAGACGCTGAGAGGGCCAAGCACGCGTCCCTGACCCTGCCCTGGGCCCCTCCCTGGTGTCCACAGCACTCTGCCCTGAGCAGGGGCCTGAGCTGGCAGCCTCGCTGTGCTGAATAGCTCACCTTCCCCTATCCTGCAGCCCCGGGCCCCGTGGGAGACATACCTGGTGCCCTCACCTAGGGGGGCCGACCGCAGGCCACCTGTTGTCCAAGCACCTCGCCTAGTGGTTTGATCTGGTCTGGGGCTCTGGAGTCTGTGGGCTCCCTGGGAGTGGGTGGGGGTCTGGTACTCTGATGACTAGGGCAGATGGAGGACCTCAGGGCTCCCTAGGTGGGACAGTGCCACATGCTAGTGTCAGAGGCCATCCCAGCCTGGTGGCTGTTGCCGCCTCCCCTGAGTCCCTTGTCCCTTCTGTGTATGTAGGTAATCGAGCTGGTGGATAAAGAGGACATTCACATCTCCACCAGCCAGGTGGCCGAGATTGTGGCCATGCTGGAGAAGGAGGAGAAGGTAGAGGAGAAGGAGAAGGCCAAGGAGAAGGCTGAGAAGGAGGCTGAGAAAGAGGCTGAGAAGGAGGCCGAGAAGGAGGCCGCAGAGGTGAAGAATTAGGGCCAGCCCCGCTCTGGCTCCGTAGTGGCCCCTCACATGTCTGGCTCCATCTCGCTGCACTGGCCACTGCAGCCCTCTCGTGATAGTGATTGCTTTGAAGTGATTCTTAGTGACAAATCTAATATTTTGTCTGGAATAAATCAAAAACTTCCATATCAAGTAATTTTAAATTTTAATCATTCCACGAAGATTCAGTCAGTCTGGAATCCCTGAACCCCTCCGGGGAGACTCCTCTGGATTCATGACATAGCAGGGGCTGCAGCGGTCCGGGCTGCGGCAGCCCAGTGTGCAGCCTGCCAGCAGCGGGGGGCTGTGGCCCTGCAGAGGCTCACTTGGCCTCCCCACGCACCCCCTGGCGGCATCTGTCCCTGGAGGAGAGAGGACAGCCACCTGGACTGCGTGCCTGTGGAGCCAGAGGCATGCGACTGGGAGTCAGATGCGGGCACAGCCTCCTCAGCCTGGAGAAGATGCTTCGTGAGTCCGTGGACTTGGGTTCCTGAATATCTGTGTAAATAGGACTGACTTGTGCACACTTCCCAAGTCACATCTGTAACGATTGAGAAAGTATGTCCATCCGTCTCTGTGGCTGCTGGAGAATCTCAGTTCTGACGGGAGTGTTGGGGTCTCCTGCAAGTTTCCTCTTATGTGTGTATTTGAGCTCTTTCTTGATGTGCTTTTGATTTTCACCTAAAACCTTTAATTAATTAATTAGAATTTCCTCACGTGACCGTCTGCCTGGGTGAATCAAGTGGGAGCTCTGCCGTGAGACACCAGTGAAGCCCTTGAAAAGACAGCGTCTCGTGTTTGAGTGACTTATGGAGCTCTTGTAGCTTTTAGGAAGTTTTCTGACTCGGGGTGTTAGCGCCTCATTGGCCTCATGGGAGTTTGGAGCAGGTTTCACTGTGCGTCCAGGGACAGGCCGGCCTGGGCTGC